TTACAATTTGGATTCTAGATTCGAAACACAAAATAATAAAGGCCAAATTAAAATAAATAGTGTGTGATGATAAGGCACAATTTGGATTATAGATTAGAACTTTATGGTAATAAGACCAAATCTAAATAAATAGTATGTGGTGTTTTGGATAACAGCGTTATTACTGAAATGTCACACTCTATTTATTTAGTTGGTCTTATTATCTTATAATAGTGTGTGATGTTTTGTTAACAATGCTGTTATTGAAAAGTCATTCACTATTTATTTGAATTTTCACTCATTATACCTTGTGTTGCCACTATGATGAAAAGATGTAAGGAGGATGTGGCTCATCAATGGTTAAACCCTTCCAGCGATTTCACCAGTTTAATCTACCATACCGTTTTGAGAGGTCCAATATTGTATTGGTCAGCTGTCTTACTTATATACATATATCTGGCACTCTAGAGGAAAAAGCTTGGCGAAGGTATTTAAACACATCATGGACATAAACTTTGAGGACAGTAGAATTGCATATAAATATAGACATTGAGCAATGCTATAAGAAAATAAGACCTAATCTAAATAAATTAATAGTGTGTGACGTTTTGCCTGATGATAGTAACACAGCTGTTACTGAAACATCACACACTATTAATTTATTTGGATTAGGTCTTATTTTCTTGTAGCATTGCTCAATGTCTATATTTATATGCAAATCTACTGTCCTCAAAGTTTATATACATGGTTTGGTAAATACCTTCACTAAGCTTTTTTCTCTAGAGTTCCAGCTATATATATATAGGCAGAACAGCCAACCAATACAATATTAGAGGTCTTATTTTCTTGTAGCTATAACCTAAATTGTGCTTTATTGTTGAGCAATGCTCATCTGTACACAATTCATATAAAAAGCCAGCTGGAAGGACAACAATACTGTTACCGAAACATCACACATTATTAATTTATTTGGATTAGAGGTCTTATTTTCTTGTAGCTATAATCTATAATCCAAATTGTGCTTTATCATTAAGCAATGCTTTTCTGTACACAATTCATATAAAAGGTCAATTGAGGGGACATTCATTTGTAAAAATGGAAAAGGACTTACGACTTAGGGATGACAGGGGTGGAAGACCCCCCAGGGATGATGGCCAGCAGGTTGTCCCACCCCCCCAGCACACCCCCACAGTGGCGTTCAATCAGCTCCCTCAGTGGGATTGACATCTCCTCCTCCACGGTACAGGGGTACTTCACGTGGCCAGAGATGTTGAACAGCTTTGTGCCGGAGTTACGAGTCCGTCCGAAGGAAGCAAACCATTCACCACCCCTACGGCAGATGGCGGGAGCCACGGCTACAGTCTCTACATTGGACACAGTTGTGGGGCAGCCGAACAGTCCCACGTCTGCTGGGAACGGAGGCTTTAGACGGGGTTTGCCTTGCTTGCCCTCAATTGACTCAATCAGGGCCTGCAGACACAACCACTCTATTATTTGTTATGAAAAAAGACATCTCCTTATCGTGCAAATGAAAGTTGTTGATGGCTTGCGCCATCTATCGGAATAAATATCAACTATTCTCGTTGATTTTTAATTATTCCAGAATTGGCCAAATACCCATTCTTGATTAATCAAGAAAAGCTAACCACGGACGCGTTTCGGGCTGTTGGCCCTCATCAGCGTGGTGCAAGCTGTACCTCAACGACCAAAAAAAAAAAAACTGGTCATTCAAGGCATCCTGAAAAATCATGAAACGGGTAGTTAAAGCCAGAATTGTGTGAGACCGCGACATTATTTATGTTGTTGTTTCTTATCCCCTTGTGTAAAAATTGAACAAATTCCATGAGTTCATGCTCCTCGAGCATCGAGCTGCGTCTGTACTCATGTTAGAGTAGGCAGCAAAGGCGTCTGCTTCCATATTAGGAACGGCCTCAAACTACAGGCAAAGTTAGACTTTCACCAAAGTGTGCCTGGATCATGGCGCCATGATCAATGAAAGCTACACTCCTTCACCCCATTCCATGAGATTATTTGTGTACACAGTACAACTTCCATGAGAGGACACCTCTTCACAAATGACAGTTATCATTGTCAAAATTACCATTAAGAGTTGTCTTTCCCTCTTAACTTTCTTCTAGTTATAAACTAACCATATTTTGATTTGAACACCTTCTACACAATGCTTTCTTTGCCTCATGCATTTAGAACCTGTTTGTCTATTACAGTAGAACCTCCATGAGAGGACACCTCTCTACAAAAGACAGTTTTCATTTGCAAAATTAACATTTTTACTATTTAGCAACTTTCTAGTAAAAGGACACCTCTCCCTAAAGGACAATTTGGCTATGCAAATAGGTGTTGTCCTTTAGAAATAGGCTCTGTATTTGGTTCAGACAACAAATAATCATATTTTGCCTTGCTGTCAATTGACAGAGCAAGTTCCTATTAAAGGAGTAAAGCTACTAAAATCCTTCTCCTCCTTTCTTATCTCCACTCAATCACACTAAGGTATCAAGCTTATAGAGCTTGTTGATGGTGTCTGCTGGGGTAGAGGAGAGCTCATCAATGGATGAGTCAATACAGTCAATAATATGTCTTGGGATTGCAGGCTGAGAATTGCACTTAGTACATAGTGGGAAAACCTTGCAACCATTCTGGAAAGTCATCGTCCGTAGATGACCAGACTTAAGTCTGGAAATCAAAGACTGTTGTTCTCTTGGGAGGACAGAACCGGTGCTTGTCCCTCCTGCTTTGTACCAGTCATGTGCAGCATTAGATTTCCATTCCTGCAGGCATTGGATTTTGATGGTACAGAGGAGGTCTCTTTCGTCTAGTTGGGTGGTAGATTCTCTTGCTTCAGTTAGGCCAAGAGCTCCAGCCTTTGCTACTAAAATGGTTGTCAAGAGTTGACATCTTTGTTCTCAAATATCTACATTAACTTAGCGCCATATATATATCGCTGAAAATTATATAAACATTTTTTTTAAATGCTACTTTTCTTCTTAAATAAATATAATTCAAATTTATTTCTCTATAGCCACTATCCTGCAATGAATAAAAACAATTTAAAGATGGAGGGTATGGCTCATCATTGATGAACCCTCACAATGGTTTTATCCTTTCAATCTCCAGGTCATTTCACTAATGTATTGGACTGAAGGCTTGGTTTTGTATACAGTAAAATTGTGTTTGGAACAAACTATTGATGAGAGAAGTGTGGACGCAGGCGCCGCTTGGAGGCGCTGCATGAAGATAACTGACCAATGGGAACGGCCCACCTCAACCATCAGTATTCTTCCTTGTATATAACCAAAAGACTGTCTTTGTTCTACTGCTGTGTGCGGTTGTTATTCTTTTGTAAACATATGTATCCTTATATCTAATAATACTATATTTATAAAATCACTTATTTGGCTGTTCTTTTTACAACATCGACCCAAAACAACTATGTTCTAATCTTTGTTTCTGTTTGATACCAAAAAGGAAAATAAATAATTAAAAAAAAACAGCATTATGTAAATAGGGTGCATATACAAATCACTCACCGTCTCCTCTCCGCAGATGTAGGCTCCAGCCCCACGTTGAATGAAGACATCGAAGTCATAGCCGCTGCCACAGGCATTCTTGCCGATCAAGCCTTCCTTGTAGGCTTCCTGGATAGCCAGCTGCATGTTGGAGGCCTCATTGTAGAACTCTCCGCGGATGTAGATGTACGCCGCGCGGGCTCCCATACAGAAACCTCCTATCAGACACCCCTCAATCAGTTTGTGAGGGTCGTGGCGCATGATCTCGCGATCCTTGCAGGTCCCCGGCTCCCCCTCATCAGCATTCACCACGAGGTACTTGGGCCGGCCATCACTAGGCTTGTGCATGAAACTCCACTTCATGCCTGTCGGGAAACCTGCTCCTCCGCGACCTCGCAGCCCAGACTTCTTCATCTCCTCCACAATCCACTGCGGACCTTTCAGGATGATCTCCTTGGTCTTGTACCAGTCTCCCTGAGTCACACCGTTGGTGAGACATAATAGAGGATGGATGGAAGATAAGCTAATTAAGAGGAAGAATTCTTATACCTTTGTGTAAAGATTACACAAATTCCATGAGTTCATGCTCCACTACTGGTATGGTTGTTTTTGTTTCTTATCCCCTTGTGTAAAGATTACACGAATTCCATTAGTACATGCTCCTCGAGCTGTATGATGAAAAGCAGAGGTCTCTACCAAAGTTCCTGTTTAGTTGCATCTAATGCAAGCCAAAATGTGTTCTGAGGTTGCAGGTGCCAAGCTAACTTTTGATGATATTCATGGTAGGTAAGGGTTTGCGAATGCTTTTAATGTAAAGTACACCAATGTCTACGCAGATAGAAATAAATTTGGTCTTTTATACTCAAAGTACCATAGCCGTCCCTTTAATTACTTGTGCACCCACTGGTGTATTTGGTTTTGTGTAAGAATTGGGAAGGGGGGCACATTGAAGCAATTTTTTTTTTTTGACAATGTGCTAATGAAGGATTAAATCCTGGATTGAATTTGTCAAAATCTTATCCTACAGCCTAATTGTGGCGGGAGAGTGAAATAACAGGTAGCTCACTACATCAGAACTCCTGGTAGAACCACCCTAGACTGAGCTATATACCCAGCTAATTTAGAAAGGTACTTGGTAGTATTTGTTCTCCGCAGCTACGAAGGGTATCTGTACTCCATGTTAGCACCAAACTAAAGTCACACCGAGTGGTACTTCCAGGTTCCCAGACCTACAGAACTCTCCTTTTCCCTCTCCATGAAGGTTTCTTCTGTGATTGACAAAGCTGAGACTCCTGTTGGAGATCATCTGAATTATATCAGAGGGAATAAGAAGCAACAACATCCTGGATGGAAGTTGTAGAAAATTGACAGTTTATACTATAACATCACCAATATCATGCTCAGAGGATCAAATACAAGCTGAGTGGTGGCATCTTCTTTGATCATATGATCTCAGGGGAGGAGGGTCCTATGTGACACAAGATCCTTGTATAATGTGTGTACCACATTGAAAACACCGGTTCTCGTCTGATCACCGAAGTTAAGCAACGTCAGGCCCGGTCAGTACTTGGGAGGGTGACCACCTGGGGGTGCTGTAGGCTATTACCTTTAGGGGGTCGGTGAAAGGAGGGTCTAAACCGTTGGTTTTCGACCGCTACGACCCGAGTTCGAATCCCGCATTGGGCACGGGGCTCTGGCACATTTGTAAGTGCAAAGTCGAACTGCTTTTCACATGTGTAGATATGTGATGTACTTACAGTAAAAGCAGTCGCTAACTACTCACCATGATTATCATGGCCTGTACCAGGTGTACAGGCAATAAATACATGGATAAGCCAAAAAAAAATGCTCAGAGGATCAAATACAAGCTGAGTAGTGGCATCTTCTTTGATCATAAAATCCCACAAGATCCTTTGAGGCCCCACTCTATACAACTCCAGACCTAACACTGGAAATAGACCTTAGAGAATATGTTCAAGTACTACTGATGGTTACAAAGCTGTGTGGTACATTTCCAGATAAACTAAAGTGGTAAAATAAGACACACACAAACTGGACACAACAAGGCTAACAAATAAAAATTACAGATCCATCCGGGGAGGAGTTTCTTTAATAGTCTTTATTACTTGAACTCTCTCAAATTTCCAGGCTGATAAGCCTGAAAGCTTCAAGTAATAAAAAACTATCAAATAGAAACTCATTCCCAAAAAAAAAAAAAAATCTTTGATTTTTATTTAATGCACAGGGGATTAATATTTATTAAGGCTAAAAAACTTCATTCTTTCTTATCTCCACTCAATCATATCAGGGTATCAAGCCTGTAGAGCTTGTGGATAATGTCTGCTGGGGATGAGTAGAGCTCATCAGACATAATCAAAAGTCTTAAGCTTTACAAGCTTTTTTTTTTTCGCTTATCCCAAGTTCACGTAGTACAGGCCATGATAATCATGGTGGGTAGAGGCTAACGACTGCATTTACTGTAAGTGCACCACATGTCTACACATGTGAAAAGCAGTTCGACTTTGCACTTACAAATATGCCAGAGCCCCGTTTGGTTACTTGCACTCGCTGGTGGGGTTGGACTTTTGCAAGAATCATGGGCCATTGAAGCATTTTTTTTTTTGTTGAACAGAAAAAAATTGCCCAATGCGGGAATCGAACCTGGGTCGTAGCCGTCGAAAACCAACGGTTTAGACCATCCTAACACCGACCTCTCTTTACAAGCTTGATAGCCTAATATGATTGAGTGGGGATAAGAAAGAAGATTGGTTAGCCTTAATAGATATTGGCTAACACAAATAAAACAACTGGGTGATATAAGAAAGAAGAGAGCTCGAGAAGCATGAACTCATGGAATTGGTGTAATCTTTACACAAGGGAATAAGAAACAACAACAACACCAGCCGTGGAGCATGAACTCATGGAATTTGTGTAATCTTTACACAAGGGGATAAGAAACAACAACAACACCAGCCGTGGAGCATGAACTCATGGAATTGGTGTAATCTTTACACAAGGGGATAAGAAACAACAACAACACCAGCCGTGGAGCATGAACTCATGGAATTTATGTAATCTTTACACAAGGGGATAAGAAACAACAAAAACACCAGCCGTGAAGCATGAACTAATGGAATTTGTGTAATCTTTACACAAGGGAAAAAGAAACAACAACAACAACACCAGCCGTGGAGCATGAACTCATGGAATTTGTGTAATCTTTACACAAGGGGATAAGAAACAACAACAACACCAGCCGTGAAGCATGAACTCATGGAATTGGTGTAATCTTTACAAAAGGGGATAAGAAACAACAACAACACCAGCCGTGGAGCATGAACTCATGGAATTGGTGTAATCTTTACACAAGGGGATAAGAAACAACAACAACACCAGCCGTGGAGCATGAACTCATGGAATTGGTGTAATCTTTACACAAGGGGATGAGAAACAACAACAAGAAAGAAAAGACATTTACCCGAGCCTTGGCTCCTTTGACCCTCCAATCATGGCGGCCATAGAGGTTGGTGAAGATACGATCTTCATCCTTGAGGGGTCCATACTTGGTCTGAAACACCAGACACACACTTTAGAAATACATTTACTTACATACCATGGTTGATAATACACACACAGGCACAACTCAAGATATTTTATATGGTAAAAAGATATTTGATAAATTATCCCGCATGTGTTTCTTTTGAACGAAAAATCAAAATTTATTTCAAGGAGAAATAATGATTATTTCTAACCTTAGGGATGAAGTATGAAAGGATGAATTGTGAAGGGTATGATAAACGGAAAAATATAATTCCCATCCCTGGCCACTTTTATTTTTCCGTTTATCATTACCCTTCACAATTCATCCTTTCATACCTCATCCCTAAGGTTAGAAATAATTGTTATTTCTACTTAAAATAAATTTTGATTTTTCGTTCAAAAGAAACAAATGTGGGATCATTTTTCAAATGTCATTCTACAATCATAAGCCGCAATATATTGTATTATAAATTTGGATTATATAGATTAGAAACCCAAGTTAACAAGACCAAATCCACCAAATTAATGAAATGTTTGCAATGTTTCTATAACACCAAAACTAACTTGCCACAACTATTATATCTTGTCCATTCTGTATGCTAGAGGAGTTTAAAAAAATTTAATAGTGGAAATTTTGCTGGAAGGATATTGACCTATAAAGACAAAAGGTTGCCTCTCCAGTCAAAATACGATGTCAAAGCTAGATGCCATCCAATGGCCGTCGCCGCAGAATAGTGGCCTCAGGTAGGTGAAAAAGCCAACAACGGTCAAAAGCTGGTGTCTAGATTTGACGTCTATTTTGATGGGAGAGGCAATGTTGTTGTTGTTGTTGTCGTGTCCAAAGAAGAGTCTCAGATGTCTCCATGCATCTCCATCACAGCAGCAGCAATATCCACTATCTTGGGTATGTAAAGCTGCTGCTCTGGGTCTAAGTCAATTTTCTGCAAGGCTGCGGCCATTGCTGGGCATGAGAATATGTGAGTAGGTGTTAGTTCCACACCAGGACAGTTGTTGCATGTCCTATAGGTTCTTGTGCCATGGAAGAGGCAATCATTGTCTTTATAGATTAAATGGTGTTTGATGAAACTCTTACAATATAAAAAAGGAATTAGTAAAGGTATAGATAGCGTAGAAAAGCATTGTTATTCAACAAGATTACTATGGGGCTGTTTCTTTTTTACAAAATAAGTTTTAACTCCTCTGCGTAATGAAGGTGTAAAGATGACAGAAGTATTGGGGCTCACCTTCTGTGGCTTCTCCTGAGTGCTGGCACAACGGACCGTGGCTAACCCTGAAACAGTCACCGCAGAGATGAGCCAGAGGTTTTCATTCTTGTTGAAGGTCAGAAACACTCAAGAAAGCTCGTATAAATAAAATAAAAAAACTATACAAGAAACTCTTCATACCTTACAATTTTTATGTTCTCCTTTTGATAATAACCTCTTTTAGTGGGGGTCGGGGGAAGGATGGTCTAAACCATTGGTTTTCGATCGCTACGACCCGGGTTCGATTCCTGCATTGGGCACTTTTTTTTATGTTAAAAAAAAAAAAAAAAAAAGCCTCAATGGCCCTCGATTCTTGCAAAAGTCGAACCCCGCCAGCAAGTGCAAGTAACCAAACCGGGCTCTGGCATATTTGTAAGTGCAAAGTCGAACTGCTTTTCACATGTGTAGACATGTGGTGCACTTCTTCAGTAAAAGCAGTCGCTTACTTCTACCCACCATGATTATCATGGCCTGTACCATGTGTACTTGGGATATGCAAAAAAAAAAAAACCTCTTTTAGTTCAAACAAAAACTCCGCCCTTGCCGTTCCCAAGCCCGGATGAAAAAGGAGGAGGGGGAGCAGTTAACAAGCTCACTAAAAAACCGAGGCTCAGCTGGCCCGACTGATAGCACCCTGTAAGGGCTCCTAATCCAGGGATACAGGATGAGCAGCGTTTGTACTCCATGTTAGGAGAGGCTGCACATGGCATCTGTTCCTCATGTCAGAGGCGGCCATTATTTTGGAGCTAAGTCGGCCTGCCACTGAGTAGTGCACCCAGTCTTAATGACAAAGGCAGATACATTCTACTTCACCCAGTGTGGAGATAAGAAATAAGAAGAATTTAACCAATTTTTTTTTAGATCCCAATCAGTCAATTTTCTTTAATTTTAAATGGAAATTCTGATCTCTTGTTGGAGCATTGAGTTGAAGAATTTGGCCTGTGTATTACAAAATTCAATAATCACAAGGTAATAAGACCAAATCCAAATAAATAAAGAGTGTGTAAAAAAGGTAAAAGCCAACAGCACCTCCAGGTGGTCATCCTCCCAAGTACTGACTTCCATTGCTTAACTTGGGTGATCGGATGAGAACTGGTGTTTATTTAGATTTGGTCTTATTACCTTGTGTTTAGAATCTATAATCCAAATTGTGTGCCTTATAAAAATCCAATAATATTAATATGATGATAATAAGAAAATATCGAACTGATTTTCACATGTGTAGACTTGTGGTGCACTTACAGTAAAAGCAATCGCCTTCTTCTACCCACCATGATTATCATGGCCTGTACCACGTGTACTGGGGTTAAGCAAAAAAAAAAAGAATGACAATGTGTTCATCACTATTGAACTAAGAGAGATGTACCATGGCCTGTACCACGTGTACTAGGGATAAACAAAATAAATAATAATAAGAAAAATAAGTTAAAAAAAAAAACTTTTTAATAAAACTTGGGATGTCTCCGTAGTATTATAGATTTGTTCATAGAAGAAGCACTTATTCTTTGATTAGGTACAACTTGGATTATAGATTTAAAAAATAAGGTAAATAAGACCAAATCCAATTTATTTATTTGATCTTATATTACCTTGAGTAATTATTCCAGTTCTAACCAAGTTGTGTTGTTATAAAGGAGGATGTTATTATAACAATGTACCGCTGTAAATAGTACAGGATAACAATACTAAAAGGGCATTATTTGATTCATTTCTGTAACAGTGTTGTTACCATCTTCAGTCTATGGTACATAGTATCACTGGTTACACTAAGTACACCAATACCTCGCTTTGCGTTGTTTCGTTTTGCGTTTTTTTCGAAGTTGCGTCGCTGCTTAATTTTTACTGATTTTCACTGTGCGTCATTAGATTTTCGAAGTTGCGCTGTTTTGGATTCGAGTCTTTAATTTTTTTTTTCCCTAAAATATGGCAACACCTTTGTTTTTGATTGCGCCTTCACATATTTTCACTTTGCGTCATTTCAATTTGCCTCGTGTTTTTTTTTGGAACGTAACCCCGACGCAAAGCGAAGTATGGGTGTACTCCTCATTGCTTTTACCCAAAAATGTCTACTTTAAATAACTTGCGATGGATTTAATTTTGCTACCTGGGGAAGCTTATCTCTAACCCAAATTGTACCATTCGAAAGATAGGATCCTCTTAAATGTAAAATAATAATTTTAAAAAAGGCTTCCGAGGATGTTTCTCGCTTTATATAGACGATATATTTTGAAAAATAGAGCAATCTATAGATAAATCTTTAATTAAAAAGGCATATATTAGATTAAAAAAAAAAATTATTTTACCAATATTTCAGTTGGCTGAACGCCAACCTTTATCAAGGTATTATAACATTTTAAAGTGGTTCAACAACAATATTGGTAAAATAAATGATTTTTTTGATCCAATATATGCCTTTTTAATTATAGATGATATATTAACACAAGGTAATAAGACCAAATCCAAATAAATAAATAGTTATGTGATGTTTCGGTAACAGCGTTGTTACCACCTAGATGATATATTTTGATGCATCAGCGCGCCCTCTGTTATGAATATTTGAAACTATTATAGACGTGTAAGATTCTTTTGAAAATTAAACAATTTCTACTGTCCTTACTGCGATGGAAAAATTAAAGGGAGGGCCTGGCTCATCAGTGGTGAACCCTCCCAGCGGTTTCGCCAGTTTAATCTACCATACCACTGTTATATTGCATTTTTGGAACTTCCTTTTATAGGTGACAGTGTTAATGGGAGGGCAAAGTCTGAC